GTAAAGTATTTTAACTTAATGTGTTCACCAGTTAATGCATTATAAATTGCTAAAATTGTAAGGATGCTTCATATGAGTTGCTTACACGAGAGAGTTTATCGTCAAAGGCAAGTACTTTAAACAACTAATGAGTAGTTCACTAATTCAAAAAATCATTAAAAGTAAAATTCACCACATTATAAACTAAGTAGTACAACACCCATGTATTACATGGGTGGCGACGGTGCCTCGTTCATGGACGGATTCATAAAAGTGGGATGGGTATCCGGACAAGTCAAATCCAAGACCGTCCTGGCCGGCGCCCACCCCTTACCATAAATAATCAACATATTATAGATAATCCGAACCTAAATATATTTGGATTAGAAGTAAACTAAATCTACCCAAGCCTAATAACGAAGCATGTATTTTTGCCACATAGGATCCCGAAGCATGCGAGCCTGCCACATAGGCTCAGCACGTTCTCAATTAATATATAGGGAGGGATTATCTCCAGAAGATGAAAGCACCAATTATAATAACGCTCATTAATCTCCATCACAAAGTTTAAACATTCTCCAGATGGCGAGATGAATGATTAGATACACGTCGTGCAGCGATTAGCAGTTTCCATTCATGCCTAAATAAACACTAAAAATGTAATTAGCTCGGGACAACACAACAAACCCAAAAAAAAGTTGTAGATAATAGTGTAAGTAAATCACCATTGCATAGCCACGCGCGACATGTGAATTTGATAAGACGATATCAAAAAATTGTGCATCCTCAGGAAGATAATGAATCTCATCCTCTTCAGCATTTGGAGTTGCTTCATTCTCTGTCCACATGCAGGCCTGCAAAAACCACAAAATTAATTACAAAATTTATCAAAACACAATTAGTTTACATATTATACATCAGATATTGGGTTCTAACATACAAACATTTACACAAGAACTAAGAATTTCACCATGAATCTTCGGACTCTTGTCCTGTTCATAAGTTTAAGTCGAAGTCTGAAGAAGGTCAACTTATTGTTGTTACTATTCGAGTTCCAATTATACTAAAACAAATATAATTTGTCTGCTATTGTCCACAAATCAACTCAAGAACACTTTTTTATGCCCACTTAGGTAGATTCATCTTCATAAAACAACGCTGGGCAATCATTATACAATTACAGCTCAACTAGGGCACCACAATCATCAGGGCCCTTGTATTTTAACATATTATGCTTCAAGAACTAAGCTCAAACGATCTTCTTTATGAACACACACACACACATACAAGAAAAAGGCAAAAACAAAAAAGAACATGGCTTTATTACAATTCTCATCTCGACCCGTTACTCTAAAACAAGATAAGATTCATCTGCTGCATCAAAATCCAAGAAAATATTTTTCCAAACTATGTTATAAGTATTTTTTTTTTAAATAAAGGGTCATGAACAGTATTCGACGTACCTCCGTTTTCACAGCGACGGCTGGAGCGCCGTGTTTGGAAAGACCCGACATATTTACCGCTGTTACTTTTGGGTTTTGCCTGTGTTCTTTCGCCGGTAAACAGGGAAGACCCAGGTAGAAGTTTTGATTTGTTTTTGTAGGTAAAAGGTAAGTGCTGTTTGGCCTGCCCCACTTTTTCTGGTCATTAGATTCAGTTTAGTAGAGTAAAAGGTTTAATTATGGAAGATAAACGTATTAGCGGCTGAAAGGGTACTAGTAAATACTAATAAAGTCGTGAATTGATTTTCCCACTACATTGTCTATCTTGACTTTAAAATTACTCGTTTTAAGACCTTCTAACGATTTTAATTTTTTTTTCCAAATCCCCGAGGGAACCGACTAATCCGGAATCGAGCCGGGTAGGACCACAAGGGCGGCAAAGCTCTACCTCAAGAGTTTTAACACAGCTGCATTCCCAGGGCTCGAACTCGAGACCTCTGGTGAAGCTGGAAGAGACCCCAACCATCTCACCCACGTGCTCTTGGGTCTAACGATTTTAATTTTACTTTTGGAAGACGAATGAACTCTCAAACGTGTTTTCATGCAGCGTTTTTCGGATTTTTAGATTAATATTACTATATTAGTCGTAGTCGGCATTATAAAAAAGTCCACATATGATAAAATGCATGACATGTTGGCTTATATATAACTTGAGCAAAAATTACAAGAAGTTTATTTATAAGAAAATTTACAAAATGTAACCAATCATTCACTGCACCATCCATAATATGTTGATTCAAGTTCAACTGCACATATTTTTGATAGGGTACAAGGACCTTTACAACATATAAAACCTGTAAAAATGTAAAATTATACTTCAAACAAACTGTAAAGAAGGAAAAGCTGTCAGGTGCATTATAAAAGAACGCCAAAGCACAACAACTAATCGAGATACCAAAGAAAAACAAATTAAAAAAAAAAAATTGCTGTTTAAAAAAAAATCAAATCAAAATTCCAAGCAACATCAACTCCTTATCTTCGTCTATTTCAGCAAAACGATAGAGATGCTCAGGTAAAAGATGATGCTAAATCCACAGATACAAAGAAAACAACAAATAAATGGCAGAAAACAAGATGAACTATATGCAAAAGCTACATCACACTTGAACTTTAAGCTTCATTCTATCTCAAAGATTTTAAAACCTTGAACTATTGATGCTGCTAACACTTCATTTATCAGAAGAAAATGTTGAAAGTATAAGAAAGCAAAAAGAAACAATATGTCCATAAGAATACAAAAAATATGTTCTAAGTCACCACACGACACAAAGAAATCCTATCCTATAGTCGTGGACTTAACCACATCTTATCATCAACACACTAATTTCATTCAAGCTTGGAAGGAAAATATAATTATGCGCTCATCAGGCATCTACCAAACCAAAGGCAGCAAAACAATTCAGATTCAACAGATTAAAACACAGAATAATGTAAGCTAGCTGCAACTGCATAATGTATTCGTCAACTGTATATAATTTAGCAAATGACTCTTTCACCACTCATTAGAGGCAGAAATAACACACCAAGTACCTAGCATTTCAGTACATTAAGTTGATAATTTGATAAATGACACAAGATAACTCATAGTCTAACACGATCTCCAAACCTTTTGCATCTTGGCCGTGTAAATATATGAAAATCATAACATCAACTTTCCAAATTGCTGCATCGAGCCCATAACAAGCCGCCATAGTCTCAATTAATCCGAAAAAAAAAGGTTCCATTTCTACTGAAAAGAACAAGGAAAAAAAAATACAAAGAAACAAAACACAGAATTTCAAAAATCACCACAATTCTAATCCTTCTTCTCAGTTCCCTCGACCTTAGGCTTCTTAGCCGTGGCCTGCGAGTACAAAAAGGTCCCAAAAATCGCAATAGCCGAACCAAGCGCATTCAACGGCCTAACTGGATTTCTAAACACCAAAACAGTCGCCACAATAACAACGACCCTCTTCATTGTGTTCCCAACCGAAAAAGTAAGCGGGCTAATATCATCAAGCGCCTCATAAGACGACTGATTGTACAGATGATAGAATATGCCGGATAACATCACCCACAGATAGAAAGTCGAAGGCTTTCCAATGGCAGCTATAGCCTTGTGGTACCCTGTGACCCACTGAGATCCCTCCACGAAAATGGCCACCGGGAAAAGGTACAACAGCGAGATTATACTAATCACACCGTACAAATTCAACCCGTTTACCTCCTTAAAGCTCTGCAGGCTCCTTTTCGAGTAGATGTTACGGAGCACGAATCCCACATTGCTTATCATAGCACCCCACAAACCTCCGAAATTGAAGGAGACTTCAGTCACAGCAGCTAAAGAGCAACCGAAAACGATGGGGAGGATCGAGAGCCATACCTTGAGAGGATACGAGTCGCCAAGAAAGGCCGAGAAGACGACAGAGAAAACGGGCTCGGCGGATTTGATGACGTGGGTGAAGGAAACAGCGACTTTGGAGAAGGAGACGCAGGCCGAGATGTGGCCGATGGTGTGGAAAAGCGCTGGGCCGAGAAGCGCGACTATGAACGGCTTGTTGATTTTCGGGACGGGCTGGAGCTTAAGGGACCAGAGGATGAACATCCAAATCGACCCACAGAGCAATTGAAAGGAAGCGAGGAACCAAGGGTATGGGAAAACGTTTAGGGCTTTTTTATTATAGATGTTGAAAACTATGTTCTGGAAATACCATAGGCCGAAAACGACGGCGAGCTTCAGCGTCTTGCTCGGCTTGGGAGATTCGATCTCGCCGCCGTCCGGGATGGATTCCGGCGGGGTTCCCGAGGCCGATTGGGGGGTCTGAGGCGATAATCTGGAGAGCAGCCCACGTGGGCCGGTGAGGGATTTCCCGAAATCGGGCCCGGATTTGTGGATCTGGCGAATGGGGTGGCCCGAACAGAGCCCGAGTGTTGGGCTCCGGTTGAAATCTGAGGTGGGGTTTCTGAAAGCGGTGGCCTTCACGAGCTTTGGATCGAAAAGTGAAGCGTTAATGGCGTGTTTAGGTCTGGGGTTTGGGAGGGCGGTATTTGCCGGCGGCCGGAGGCTTAACGATAGCATCTTTTCTGAGTTTCGGAAGGTTTTTGTTCCTCCTTGAGCTGCGTAGAACAAGCAAAAGTTTGCAGGTGTTAAAAACGGCACAAATGGAAAATGGGTTCACCTACCAATTTACCAACCACTTTCACTATTTTCAGTCTGCAGAAAATAGTACTATAATTTGGTTATTAATTTACTTTGTTGCAATCCAATATATATTTTTTAATTATTAATTGTCATATGTGTCTCGAGGAAAATAAAATAATGAAAGGGTGTCGTTGTTTTAGGCTTTTAGCGTACGTGGGCCTAGTTTTCACTTTAGGGGAAGTATACTGCACTCTGCACATAATATTTATCACACCAGTCACAATTTTTTGACTAATTCTGCTCGTGACATAAAAATAGTTGGATGAAAGGAATCAAATCAAATAATCTTTTAGTATTACAGAAGTTGGACCTAGTCTAATTTCATTTGTTGATTATTGGGCGATAAGTCCCCATCTTCACAGCAGAATCTGCAAGGGGATGCTGTGGAAGGAGACTTCGAGGATACAGTGTAGCTGTCTCTTTTCGAACAACTTTGTAATCACTTTTGTTGTTTATCACTCCATAAGAAGTGAAGATGAGATTATTCTTCGGCGAACCTTATCTTCACTTCTAATGGAGTGAGCTTGTTTTTAATTCAAGATTATTCTTTTCATAACTTTCGAGGCTTTTGTTTTTGCCCATATTGTTGTACTGGAAATTTAATTGAATTCTGCCTTAATCTGTGTGAGACCTTTTGGAAGGTCCTAGTGCAATGAATGAAGCTATATCCAATTTATTGTGATACTTTCCCCTTATAAAGCCAACACTGCTGCACAAACACATTTAATGGCGGTTCACATGTCACTCTGTATAGTGCTTGCCGTTTTATTCTCCGTTTTCCTATCTGCATTTTCCTTTGCAGAACTAAGCAATGCTGGTTTCACTGTGGACCTTATCCACATAGACTCGATTTCTCAACAGAAAAATTCCACATCCATTTACTGGGACCTTGTGAATCGAGCAATCCAACGGTCCAAGAATCGTGCTGATCGTCTGGCTTTCAGGTCATTTGTTTCAGCTGTGCCAGAAGCCGATCTTGTGGCCTCAGATGGAGATTTTCTGATGAAACTTTCACTTGGAGAGCCAGCTGTCGAGATTAGAGGTGTTATCGATACATCGAGTGCTCTTTCTTGGACACAATGTGGTCCATCTGATCATTCCTTTACCCAAATACTGCCTCTCTTTATTCCAAAATCGTCTTCGACTTACAAGTCTGTTCCAGGTACGTACAGCAACATAGATAATCGATTTATTCTGGAAAAATTTGCGTTGATTTGACATTTCAAATTTATATAATTCTATCAGATGAAGAAAAAATAAACGCTTCTTTTGTTTTAGTTTTTGTTTTTAAGAATCTTCCTGCAAAAAACTATGTTATTTTCTACAATGGATTAAATAATATGCTTGGATATAAGATTGTTTGATTTTGTTTGAATTTTTTGTTTTGGTTCAGTATGGTTAATTTTAAAATAAAATAATCAAAGTCGATTTGATGTAAAAGTTGGAGAGAAATGATGTGAAGTGATGGTTAGTTAAAATTATTTGAGTGGATGAATAGTGAATTAAAGTTGATGTAATGTGTAAGAATGATTGAGTTGTATTATTCAATTATATTGATAATATTGAGGATAATAGGGTTAGTTAAATTTGAGTTAAAAAAAAAAAAGTGATTGGTTAAAAATGATTGAATTTTTACTTTTTTTGAAAAAATTTGTATCAAAGCAACTATGTTTATCGAATTATTCTAAGACCATACAATTCACGTGAGGCATGATTTTTCAGGTTCTTCAAACCTCTGCAAGTCTCTCGGAGGCAGGCCTTCGATTGTAGGAGACAACACGTGTCGATATTCCGTGAATTATCTACACGGCTCCTACTCTCACGGAACTATCTCAACCGACACACTCAGGACAAACTCCGGATCCACCTCACCTATGATCCTTCTTCGGAATTTCACTTTCGGTTGCAGTTATGAAAATGTCGGCAAGTTTAAACCGGAAGCTACTGGCGTGATAAGCTTGGGAGGCGGGCCCGCTTCCTTCATCGCCCAAATGAATTCTGTAATTGGCGGCAAATTTTCCTACTGTTTACTTTATCAAGGTCAAAGAGTCTTGAAGTCGAGCAAAATGCATTTCGGCTCGAAAGCATTGGTCTCCGGGGCAGATGTTGTGTCCACTGGCCTCCAAATTTTACGAAATTCGTATGCTTTGAAATTTAAAGGTATAAGCGTAGGTAAAAGCAAACTGGCCGCCTCTTCGAAAATTCTGGGCCTTTTCAGCGAAAGAATCATCATTGACCCTGGAACTGTGCTGACTCATCTCCCGAGGAAAATTTACGAACCTTTAGAAGCTGCCATGAAGAAGGAAATCAAGTTCGAGCTCGTTCAACCGAAGGATGTGCTGAGGCTGTGCTATAAAACAGTCGATGGCAAAATGAGAGCGCCGATTGTTACGGTGCATTTTGTGGGCGCTGCTGTTAGGTTGTATCCTGTGAACACGTTTATCAAGGTCTCGCAGTACGTGCATTGTCTCGGTTTTGTGCCGCATGATGGGGTTGCCATTTTCGGAAACTTGGCGCAGGTTAATTTCTTGGTAGGGTATGATTTGAGGAGAAAGATGGTGTCTTTTAAACAGACTGATTGTAGCAAGGATTGAGTAGTAATAGAATAGCTAGCAGTTTGAATGGTTTTTTACTACTGTGTGGAGAGGATATTTTATGCATTGATAATGGGATTATGATGTGCTTTAAAGATGTTTTTTTGCCTTTGTTTGTTGATTAATGCATTTACATCGTCTAGTTTAGCTTTCCCCCACCCTTTTCTTAAACACATTATTGTTAAGTGTGATAGCAACCGGGGTTTATTGACACTCAGTGCATAAATATTATAAATAATTATAATAATAATTATAAATTAGAAATAATTATAATAATTATAATATATTCTAATAGTTATTACAATAGTTATTACATATGAAAAAATTTAATAATTATATTTCTGATAATATCTAACGTCCAATTAATAGCATAATGAAGTCTAACATGTAACATAATCATTTCTAACTCCTAAGTCCTAACACGATAATATCTAACGTCCAATTTATAACATAATTATTTCGAATATATAACATAATAATTTATAAAAAAGAAAATGATCGGCCGGCCGAACCGGACGGACCGGTTTCGACCGGGCGTCGCCGCCGGACAGCTTTTAAGGCGTCCGGCCGGCCGGTTCGGACATAGCTCGTACGACCGGACGAACTTTCCGGACGGCTTTTTAAGCAGTCCGAACCGGCCGACCGGACACCTTTTGAACCGTCCGGTTCCGGCGGTCGGACGGGCCAAAAGTCGTCCGGTTTCGACGGCTGAACATTTTTTTTTTTTTTTTTTTACTTTTTAGAAAAAAATATCAAGGACAAAATTGTTCAAGAAGAGCAGTAAATAATAATAGGGGCAACAATAGGGGCAGTGAATAGTACTACCGAACCGCAACAACCCAGAAACCAAATCGAGAATCTTCTACACTAAAAAATAATCGAAACTCACCCTACCAAATTATAGGGTTCCGCTCGATTTCTTAATTTTAGCTCAAAAAGAGCCATGTATCCCATTTCAAATATTTTCAAAACAACCATATTTACGAGCTCTGAAAACATATACAAACAAGATGAGCCACACACCTACAAATTCGCCTTTTCAGCTTAGAAATGGTGGTCACAGAAGATAATGCAAGGTAATGACTTTAACCCTTTTCGACACATATGTTAGCCAAATTCAAATCCTGGTCCTTCATCCGCAAGAATCACCACTCTTTGTTGCTACTTCGTTCATTGAAGATCGAACGAAACTCCATATACCACCTGAATTCAAAAATAACGAGCTACTTCAAAAAAAGCGATGTCGAGCACGCGCGCCAGGTGTTCAAACAAATGCCCCAAAAGAATGTGGTCACCTGGAACTGCATGATCTCGGGCTACATCAAGAACGGCATGGTCAGCGAGGCCCGCCGGGTCTTTGACTCGATGCCGGTCAAGAACGTGGTCTCGTGGACCGCCATGCTGAGCGGGTACGCCAAGAATGGGAATTTGGCGGAGGCTAGGCTACTGTTCGATTCGATCGAAAAAAAGAACGTCGCCAGCTGGAACTCCATGATTTCAGGGTACTGGAGCTGCGAAAAAAGTGAGGAAGCCCAGCAGCTGTTTGCTGAAATGCCTGTGAAGAATGATGTTTCTTGGGCTACGATGGTCGAAGGGTATTTTCGTTGTGGGGCCGTGGAAAAAGCTGAGAGCTTGTTTAGACTGGCTTCGGTTAAAAGCGTGTTGCTTTGTAATGCTATGCTGGCCGGGTATGTTGAGATGGGACACGTGGACAGGTCCTATGAGCTTTTTACGAGAATGCCCGAACGTGATGTAGTATCTTGGACTTGCCTGATGAAGGGTTTTTTGAGAGTTGGGGAGTTGGAAAAAGCTCGGAACTTTTTCGAGTCCATGCCCGTGAGGGATGCAGTTGCTTGGACAGTGATAATCAAGGGTTACTTGGATCATGATAGGATTGAAACTGCTCGGGAATTGTTTGGGAGAATGCCCCACAAAGATATTGTTGCATGGAATGCAATGCTGACGGGTTTCGTCCGAAGTGGGAAATTAGACGAAGCTTTTGATCTGTTTAACAGAATGCCGCATAGGAATGTGGTGTCTTGGAATCTCATGCTGTGGGGTTACGTACAGTTTGGTGATATTAAAGCTGCCCGTGAATTGTTCGAAAAAATTCCAAAAAAGGACGTGATCTCGTGGAACACTTTGATTTCCGGGTACAAAACTGAGGAGGCTTTGGTCCTGTTCATGCGGATGCTGTCCAATGGGTTTGCGCCAGATCAGGGCACATTAACTGCAGTTATATCTGTTAGTGGTGTTCTTGCTAAACTGAGTTGGGGAAAAGCAATGCACGTTTTTTCTGTCAGGATTGGGCATGAAAATGATAACATGGTGGCAAGCTCGTTGATATCTATGTATTCGAGATGTGGGTGTATGAAAGATGCCACTTTGGTATTTGAGAAGATGCAAAATCGTGATACGGCATTATGGAATGCCATGATATTGGCAACAGCACGTCATTCTTTTGCCAAACAGGCCTTTGATCTCTTTCGTAGCATGATAGATGCCGGATGTGAACCTGATCACGTCACTTTCTTAGTTCTGTTATCTGCGTGTGCTCATTCTGGGCTCGTGAGTGAAGGTTTGGAATATTTCGAGCTGATGGGGACTTATAAATTGACTCCAAGACCCAAGCATGGCTCGTGCATTGTTGACCTCCTTGGCAGATCGGGTTTTCTTGGCGAAGCATTTGAATTGATTAATCGGCTGCCTTTGGATATTGGGGCAAATGCATGGGAAGCATTGCTTCATGCGTGTAGTGTTCATGGAGATTACGAATTAATTGACTTGATTGAGAAAAGAATTTTGGGGTATCAAAGTTGTCATGTCGGGATGCATGTTCTTCAGTCAAATATATATTCGACACGTGGCATGTGGAAGCATTCTGCACGAATAAGAGAAAATCTAAGACAAAGCCAGTTAAGAAAGGAAATGGGATGGAGTTCGGTTGATGCGAATTGAAGCAATTTTTTTTTTTTATTTTTTTTTTTATTTCTCTTATAAAAATAGATCTCATGATCAAACCATAAACATATACTTGGATTTGAAGAGGTAACATCTGAATTTCTGATAAATAATATTAGTGCCATGCATTTTTTTCCCCCCAACTGTTTTTTGCTTTCCATTTTTTATAAAAAATGATAAGCCTCTAAACATTTTCTGTTCATTATTGCAGTGTTCTTCAATGTTTAGAGTGACTGCATTTAGTATCCTAATTGGGAAACTTAATTTGACCAATGAGGATTATATGAATGTTTGGCAAATTGGGCCAACTGGGCTAGCTGTTTCAGTGCACGGGCCTAATGGGCTGACAAAATGGGATGGGCCTCCTTTTTCATCGGGTCTAAAAATATGCCGGAGCTTTCACATTGTTGTGCTGAGTCGGACCAGCCCCCAGTCCATGGCCAGACTTGAAATCGATTGCGACAAAAAGGGAAACCATTTATCAGCATTTGGTGCCTGGTAATTAAGATACAAAACAGTTTTGTAATTGCTAATTATTCTGCTTTTTGTACATGATGAAAATCATAATTTATTTTCTGATGAAAATAAATTGGATTACTAATGCACAGCTTGATGGTTAACATAACATTCATGTCATATCTCTCAAGGTTCCGTTTGCATTCTAAACCTTTTGCTTTTGGCATGCATATTCCACTTGGAAGGTTTCATATTTTCTTTCCTGTTTCCTTGATAGCTATTGCATATCATAGTATATTTGTTCATGCCATAGGATTCATTTAAAACATTCTTACCATAAATGTTTGTTGAATCGTTGGACTATTCAATTGTATGCACGTTTTTTCGACAAAAAAAGAGCAATATGTAAATTTATGTAAATTGAAAAATAAAATAAAGTGTGTTATATTCATATATTATATATTTTAAAACAATATGTGTTCATGCTATTTTATAAACTCAGACAATATAGAATCTAAATATGTGAATATTTTATTTTATATCACCAAATATTATATAAGTATAAAGTGGAAATATAAGAAAAAAAACTCAAAAAATATCAGAAATTTTTTATGCTCTTGTTCTATATAGAGAATGTATAGCAAAGTTATTGCAAAATAATTGAGTCGCATTAATACTATTACTTGGAGGATAATTAGAACCATGATTATGTTGAAGTGATATGGAGTTGCTACACATGTTTAACAATTAAAAAATCATGGAATGACTATAAATGACATGCATATATTTGAAATTTTTTATCATTTATTTGAATGTATCAAATGACTTACTTTGAATGGTAAGCGAAAAAAAAAAATATGAAATATGGATGTTGCCACTGCATAATCATTTTTAGCATGATACATAATCATGCCAAAAACAATGTCACCACCCGACCATTAGAGATCGTGTTGTTAGGACGAGCTTGGAGCTATTCGGAATGGTCTATGGTGAAATGGACATTGTTCTAACACATTCTTTAGATTGTAGGGATTGTAGAGAAAATTAGAACTTTCACATTGTTTACATAGTTGATATAGAAAATTTAGAACTTTATTACAGACACTATAGAAAATTTAGAACTTTCATCAAATGACAGTAGACTAGTTTGTAGAACTTTACACTTAAAATGGAAGGTATAATTAGGAGTGAGAACACCACGTTTCAAATCTTTAATTAATAAAATAAAAATGGGTGTGGCAAATATAATAGATTAATTTTCTATATAATTAAATTATATAGATAAAATAATGATATATTGTATTAATAAGTTACTATAAGTTGTTTGGGGAGTACTAAGTAATAGTGTCGCAAAATATTGTCAGAGTTCTTATGTTTGATGAAGGGACGAAGTATCATCTAAACAATGTTTCTGATGTTGGATGGAAAATGTTGATTGGTTAGGTTTCGCTCTTATGCATGTCGCGTATAGTTTATTCATGCGCAACACAGAACTGTCTTTACGTATAGTGTATGCATGCAGCAACACGGAACTGCTGTTGTGCAAACACGGAACTGCTGTACATGCAGATGACGTGATCTTTGTTAGTGATTTTCCAAGAAATAGTGATGTCAGTCACTTTCCAATAAAAGAAAATACTATAAATATAAATATAGAGTATTATATTAAAAAAATATTTGGGAATATTTTGATAAAAATATTATGTTAGTGATGATGTCAAAATATAAAACTATCTCCATTGTTTTGATATAGATTTGATGAAACATCTTAACTTAAATATAATAGTAAGAGACATATTATAATCTAATTGTAACTTAAATCCCTTATATATAGTTTTCGAATGTACTGAGTTGGACATGTTTCGGAATCTTATGTCGCATGCTTCGTCATTATTTGGAATGTTAATCTACGGTTTTGCTATGGAGCCATCCATAGTTATCCACAAATGGTGTATTGACACGTGTCCTGCAATAAATACACATTGGACACGTGTCAATACATAAAGTTATGGATGACTCCATAAAGGAACCATCCGATGGCTCCATAAAGGAACCATCCGATGGCTCCATAACATTTCTGTGTTAATCTATATATATATATATATATATATATATATATATATATATATATAATTACTAGCTGATGCATTTAATAAAACATTTAATAAAATCTTTTTTCATTTTCCTTCAAGAGGAGTTACATTTTTTTTAATTAATTACTCACTAATCTAATTAATATGATAGAAGTACCATGTCTAAAAGGGAGTTACATTTTTACCAAATTACTCACTAATATAATTAATTACTCCAAAAGGAGTTACATTTTTATCCTCCAAAAGAAAAAGTAATAACTTTTATATGATAGAAGTACATGTCTAATTAATAAATACAAACAAAAACGTGTTTTATATCTGTGCAAATACACATGATCAAATACTAGTTTACTTCAAATCCAACATAATTAGGTCTGGATTTTCATAAATACGTTGATTATTTATGGTCATTTTACATGTATTAATTGCATTTTAATATACTTACTTGTTAATGTTATAACTATTGAATTTTAGATGTGTTTTAAAAGTTAATAACTTTTGTATTTTTTACCAATTTTACATATATAATATACTAAATTAATCATATCTTGATGAATTTCGATTTGACATTTCATATTGTATGTATAAAATAAAATAAATAATATTTATTTTTATAACAATAATAAAATTATTTATTAATATTAATTTAAAAAAATAAATTATTTATCAATTAATATATTTATATTTAAAATATATATAAGATATAAATTAGAAAAACTATTATAATATAACACATGTAAATCCCACAAGTAACAATTGTCATTCTAAAATATAGAACAATATATATTTTTTGTATAGAAGTACTTAAATTCTAAAAAACTTTTTCTCTTTAGTTTTAAAAGTTAAGAATAAATTTTTCAACAAGCACCGATTAAAAATACATTTTTTAACAAATACTCTGTGTCTAATACACGTGTGTTGTAGCTAGTATATTTATAAAAGAGAGACACCAGTAAAACCTCATCCTCACTCTGTCCTACCCTTCCACAAAGCTTTTTCTCATCTACTCTAACAAAATTCTTAAATGCGATAGGAGAAGACTAACACGAGTATAATCTCATCCCAACGTCTAGCTGATCACTACTCAACCCTTTTGCACTACCCTTTAACAAACTAGAAGCTTTTTTCTTATCTATTCTAATTAGAAAAACAAACACACTATGACTATTTCCTCTTCGTTGTAGCTTCTTCTTCCTCTTCTCCCTTCCACTATTTGAACTTCCACATAAAAACTTCTCCACATCGTCGTCGACAACCGACACACGAAACATTCCAAATCCTTTCACCCATAAAACTAAAACCGTTGATCCTCCGAAATCGCCATCCTCGGCAACACATGGACCGCTACAACCTCCGTCCCACTGGGCGGCTCCACAACCCACACATTCGGCGGCCTCGCCAACACATCCACCACCACAATCTCCCGACCCTCCTCTGACACTACACACATCTTCCCCCCACGCACCGCCACCTTCTCCGCTCCCTTGACCCTCTCCAAACCCCCCACCACACCCACCCACCGGTCGTTGACCCCATCGTACGCGCTAATCGACCCCTCCTTCCGATCAACAACATACATAGCTCTTTCGTCACATGCATCCACCGAAACCGGGCCGTTCCACCCTCCAAGCATTCCCCTCGGCATCTCCTCCCACCTATCCTCCACCACATCGTAAACCGCGCCCTGTTTTCCCGACCGCGCCCCAATCGCGTTCACCATGCAGAGCTTGTTCCCGCCATAACCGACTGCCTCGATCCCCTCCCGACAGAACCTCCCGTCTCTGTAGTCCGCCAGCCGCTCCCAAGACTCGTCGCCCGATGACGGGTCCCACCTCTCGATCGACCGCGCCACATCGGCATCGTACCCCGCTCCGACCCCGCTCGCGACGTAAACCGAGCCGCGGGCCGACCCTGCGACGCACCACCGACGAGGGGCCCGAAAGGCGGGCCCGCGGGCCCATCTCGCGGTGCTCGGGTCGAACACGAGCGGGTGATGGAGGGCCGGGAGGAAGTCATTCGTGCTCGCGCATATCAGGGCTAGCTTGTTCGACGCGGTCACAGACTGGATGGGGAGGGCCCAAGATATGATGTCCGGGTGGCGGCGGAGGATGGACGGGCCGAGTGGTGGGCCCGGAAGGGCCCGCCACGTGGCGGAGATGGGGTCGAGGCAGGCGAGGGTGATGGAGTGGGAGTGGCGGCCGCGGGCGGAGATGGAGTCGGGATCGGACGAGGCGGGCCGGGCGGAGACGTGGCTGAGGACGGCGTAGAGAGCAAAAAAAGGGGGGAAATCGGGAGAGTAGATGAGGCGGCGCCAAGACTTGCATACTTTGTAGAGTAGAGAAGGTTTGAGAGGTGAAAGGCAAAGGAGGGCTAGATGGGCGGGTAGTCCGGGGAGTAGCACGGGCTCGTTTTGCGGGCCGGTTGCCGAGGAGTGTTCGGTTTTGCAGTGTTCCTTGGGGATATGCATTGAGTGGTTTGGAGCTGGCTATGCAAAGAGGTTGGATATATAGTTTTTGTTTGTTGTTTACTATAATGTGGAGTATAAATGGTGTGAGTGGGTTATTGTATGAGCTAATTGCAAACGTTATTAGTGTAAACTAAAGCAAAAGGTAGAGTGAGGACAAATCATCGAACCTCTGAGACCTGTGGGGAGTGCTTTTTGGTATATTGATGAACTTTATCTTTTTAGAAACTTGGAATGACTCATACAATCATGCATTTCTTCGGCGATAAGGAAATTAAATGAGTTTTACAGTATGTTACTTTTTCGAGCAGGTCACATGTGGGATATTATGGTGAAGACAACAATGGCCTGCTTTGAGTTATTTGAATTTAGGGCCAACTGATAAATAAAAAATAGTTTTGAAAGTAATAGAATATTGTGTAGAGAGAGATGTTACTTAACCTTTGGGAACTTTAGGGGCGATATGTGAGTTATTTTATGGTATGGTATGGTCGGAAAGGAAAAATATTTGAAAAGGCTGAAGCCCAACTTATTGCTTTTCACTTTTCAGCCCAAAATCAATCCTTTAATAACAGAGAGTGTGAGAGTCTGAGAGATTCGGGCGTGTCGCGTTTCACTAATTTGTAAACCGTAAACCTAAAAGCTCGTCTCTCAAGTCTCATCTCCAGGGGCGTATCCAGAAATTTTTTTTGAGGGGGTCTGTATATTTTTTAATAATCATAAATTTAATTTATTGTATATAAAAAATAGAAAGTTATATTATATAATTATATATAATAATAGTGTAATATAAATTATAAAGTTTCAAACCTTAACATTAAGAAATTGACATTGAATGCTCTCTCAATTCATTAATATCATTAATGATTGCCTCCATAGTCCATACCAATAGTTTGATATTTTTTCTTTCCAAGCATATCTTATATGGTCTTCTTTTTCAAAAAAATACCAATTTTTAGTTTTTCACATATTTACTATATATTCAATTTATTTAAATTAGAAAAAATATTATACAAAAGTGTAAAAAGAGTATAATTGCAGTTAAATTATTACTAGAAAGAGTAATACAATTACTATTTTAACATAATTGTGTAAATTTATGTGAAAATTGATATACTTATATATATACACTAGAAATTACAAATCTTGTAGGTCCGTCCCTACTCATCTCATACTCTGTCTCTCTCATCCTTCGAGCGGCGGCGACAAGACCTTGCGAGGCTTCGACTCGAGCGACGGGACCTCTACTCGAGTGGCGAGCGGCGAGACCTTCGACAGTTGCACTTGAGCGGTGAGCGGCGAGTGTCTAGCGGCAAGCAATGTCTTCGAGCGGCGCTGGCAACGACAAGGCAACTCCATTTCGGTAAAAGGTAATGATGGCTGAACCCCTTTGATTCTTTGTTCTATCTATTCTATGGGGTGTATTTGTGTGTAGTTGTCAGTGATTGTGAATTGAATTGGGTGACTGTGAATTGCATTCTGAACTTGATGAATAATGAGTTGATTTTAATTTATTTTTCTCTATTTTCTTTTAGAGGTGTTTTTTTCTTAATTTTTTAACTATCACGTGTTTTTNAATTGACGGGCCAACCTGTCTAGCTCGCGGCCCATGACGAGAGTGGGCCGGGCTGACCATTTGGAGGCCCGCCCCACTGACCCGTTTTGACAAGTCTAAGATACCCATAAAACTTCAAGAGCGGGTCTATTAAACTCGGGAAATAAATACACCCCTTATCTATTAAAACATTTTTTACACTAATGAAGTGAGATATTATTATCACAAAATAAGCCATTGAGATTCCTTTTTGACGCCCAGGAGGTTATTATTATCACCATCTCTCACACACATAACAAAATTATGTATCCTTTCTTCACGAGGGAATAGTGCACGGCGGCCCGTTTATTTATTTATTTTTTATAAAAATACAATAAATCATACATATGGTAAACCAAAAAAACATTCTAATTTATAAATCAATGAATCATTTAGAAATGAGGAGTAGAAAAAAAAAACATTCTAATGGAGAAATCAAAGACAAAAGGTACCACAGATCAATATCCATAAAACATTGAAAGTTAGTGTACTTATAATTAAAAAACAGAACTTTATAAATGTAAAAGAAATGTTTATAAACGCCTTAATTTTCTTTATTTATTTTTCTAAATTTTCTAATTGGGTGGGAGGGGATTTATTCATCAGCAATATGTGAATTGGGAAAGTTTTCTGTCAAAATAGCTCAGCCCAGCCCAGCCCAGCCCAGCCCAATCTCAACATTTTTCTCCCATCCCAAGGCCTTAATTGGACGCGAAAAAAGAAAAGAAAAGAAAGAAAGCATAAAACCTAAGCCAAAGCCCCTTTTCCTCTGCAGCGTGTCCAGCTGAAGTTCCTCCAACCTGCAAAAACCCTTCTTACTGTAAGCAAAAAAATTGAATCTTTATGCTTCTTTTCGCACCAAGTCGTCAAATATTTTTTAATGCCATTACTTGTTTATATTTCTTCTTCTCCTTTTGGGTATCCTGAAGCTGTAGGTCTCAAATATTACAATTTTTTTTTTTCACTATATTTTTTGTAGACAATGGTGGATTTTCATTTTGATGAAGTCATTGAGGTGTTCAAGTTCGATGCCCAAGTGGTGTACGATAAAGGTAAATCAAGAGCATTTTCTTTCTTTGAATTTCTTGTCATTATTCTAGCTGAAGGGATATTTTTAGTACCATAATTACGTGTTTAGCTTTGTTGGGCAGTCTTCTTTTTCTGTTTATAATTATTCTTGAGCTCTTTTATATGAATTAGAGAAGGAAATATTCCAACTTTGAGGATGGTTTTGTGATAATGTTTACAGTTTCTCGAGTAATTGCTAAGGGTGAAGATGGTGATTGTTATCTGGAATTAGATGTGCATACTGAGTTGTACCCTATGCTTCCTGGGGAGAAATACAGGATGTTGATTTCCTCCACTCTAAATCCCGATGGCTCAGCTGTGGCCGCCTACTTTCCTGAGGTGCAAATTCCATTTTTCACCTTTCATACATTCCTTTGTTGCTTAGGTGATATTCTCAAATTGGTGGACACTAATTTTTGTTGTGTGAAAAGAGCATTTTATGAGCTTTTATTTGTTTAGTTTCCTTTATGCATCTAGATTCTAGCCTGAGTAATGTTAGCTTAAAGCAAAGTGCAATTCAATTTTTTACCTTTCATTCCTTTGTTGCTTAGATGATATTCTCAAATTGGTGGGACACTAATGTTTAGTTTCCTTTTATCTGTTAGCTTAGAGCAAACAGATTTTGCAAGGGACCAAAAAATGCTCGGACTATTTCTCCTAAATAGTGCATCTTTAGAATTTTTATCTTTAAGTAATATAGACTCTGTTTTCTCCATGTGTTACTATTGTTTGAACAAGGTAAATTTCTTCTGTCTTTTGGTTGATTATGTTGGATAATAATGAAGTAGGAGAATCTTGAACAACTATGTGACCAATTGGGGATTAATGTATTATCTATATTACCTTCAATTTTTCGCAGGGAAAACAAAAATCGCTTGCAGACAAGTTTGAGTATGTTATGCACGGTCTTCTGTACAAGATGGGTGAAGCTAAAGAAAGGACTGATGGAGATGATGAAGTTAAAGTGTATGCATGTGTTTCTCCTTTTTACTCGTGAATTGATCGTAAAAGTCTTTGATCCATGCACTTCAAGAACTTATTTCCAATATGATGGTGTAGTTTTAAGCTTGAATAATAAAATCTTATAAAGACATGAATTCAGGATAAACTCAGTTAAACCACTTCTCCATCTTAAGTTAGCTCCTTTTCTTCTTATGTTACGTGATTTGGTGTAATCTCTTTTGCTTAACAAACTTGAACTTGATTTGTGATTGTTTGAGGTTTTTCATTTGTGACAGGGTGGCATATATTTCGTTCGGGGGACTCCAGCTGATGCTAAAAGGCGTGCCCCTGAAGATGCACAAGTTTAAAGTCGATCAGAGGCTTTTTCTCCTCTTGAGGAAGATTTGAGATGAAAATTTATGCTCGTGTACAACATTATTGTTGCTTTTAAGAATGGGGTTTCAAAATATAAAGAATGGTTTAAGTTTAGTTCCTTCAAGATTGTACTCATGATAATACAAGTCGTTTAACCGTTTTTTGTGAGGGTTTTTAACCAAAATGTAAGGTTATGCAACGAGCTGGGAATTTGTGGTTAGATTTTATAGCTCGTGTTTATAAACCGATTCAATCGGATGATTCCCTAATGCTATTGTGATTAGCTCTTTTCTGAGGTGTAGGTTTCAGAATTCTTCAATATGGCTGCTACTTCTCCTTTTGTCTTTTGTCTTTTTTNTTTTTTAACTGAAACGATGAATATAATAAAACTCGAAAACAAAATACAATATCCGGGAGATTACATAATAAGACCTTGCTTGCAAGGATCTTGCAGAGCAAGTGATCAACGAGAACTAGAAGTTCCAAAGCCAACACTACCAAAAGAACAAAGACCAAATCCAAGATACTAACTACAGCACAGAAAAGAACTAAAATATTTACAGGAAGAACAAGAGAAGAAAAACTACACAAAAGTTAGGGGAGGGTTCATTTAATTCAATTATAGCAAAATAAATAAGTTAGGGGAGGGTTCATTTAATTAATTAGTCTGACATTTTTGAAAAATAAGTAACAAAGTATATTTCTCTAATTATTATATTTAACAACAGAATTTGTGGTATAATATTTTTTAAATTACAAGTAATAAGTATAATTTTTGGGCGTGCATCGAGCTTTCCAAATTCCAATTGATCTTGCTTGCACACAAGAGTTTACGGTTTTGCTATGAAGCCAACAGTTGCTTCATAGTGGAGTCAACCTTCTATATACAACAAGTAAACCTACCAAATTCTCTGATTACTTAAGTAACATTAATATAATTTTATTAATATGGTAGGTTTATTTGTCGTATAAAGAAGGTTGGCTCCACTATGGAGCCAACTGTTGTATCGAGCTTTCCAAAACTGTCTTAAAGAATGGCCCCAAAAGTATCAATCAAATAATCAATCAGGATTTTTATTTATTTATTTATTTTGAGAAAAGGCTTTGAACAAATTGAAATGCTAATTTCTAATAAAAAATGTAAAACTACATTTCGAAAGCCTAAAAATCAACAAGTATCTCTAACATGGTTAAATTCATTCATCTAATCAATTTTAATTCCTTTAATTGCTTTATAAGAATTTGTGTAACTCCATTTTTTGAGGTTGAGTTGCAATCCAAGACAAGAAACCTTGATAACCAACAATGTTGTTCGTTTGAAGAAGATACCAACAATATTTGTCCGCAAAATTATGCTTTCAAGAGGTGTATAGATATGGGGAAATTTTCAAAATGGTTCCTTAAAACAAAAAATAATCCAATTGAAACTCATTTATAAATAGTATTCTCGTAATGTTTAAAATCCATCATGTCAAGAATAACTTTTTTGGTGAAATTTGAAAAAAGTGAAAGTAATCATGAATAGTAGTCTAAGCTCATAGATTATGAAGAACAAAAATTCAAGCAACCAAAATTGATCGACTCTTTTTAGGGAACAAGCAGTTTGTTTGTTTCCCCCACTTTTTCTTGTGTCTTTGCTCAAATTAAGCATAAACTCTTTCGGTTTTGCTATGAAGCCAACAGTTGGCTCCATAATGGAGCCAACCTTCTTTATACAACAAATAAACCTACCATATTAATAAAATTATATTAATGTTACTTAAGTAATCAGAAAATATGGTAAGTTTATTTGTTGTATATAGAAGGTTGACTCCACTATGGAGCCAACTGTTGGCTTCATAGCAAAACCGTGTTTAAGAAATGTGATAATACATATTTTAAGTAATAATGATAATAACCAGCACCCTACATATCTGCTGAATTTTTGCCATCACGACATTTGTGTGATTAACCTTTTACTGACCAATGATTAATTGGAGACATTATGGGAAGCTTCATTTCTAATTTTCTATTTGGACAAAACTTCAGTAACAGAATTTTCAGTACAAGGGTGAAATTAAATAGATAACATTAATTAATCACTCCAATAATAAATAATAATAATAAGTGATGGTACTAATGCAAGGATAGAAGTCATTAAAAATTATAGTTGTTCTTCTGTTAGGCTAGCCTAACAATTAGGCTAACATACATAATTTCATTTAAAAAAATCATACTATTTTAAATGAAAATTTTCAAATTTACAGTTTTGTGTGGGACCCACTTCCTAGGCATTGATTCCCTCCACGCAATCTGAGCACCCTAACTAAAACTACTTGTGTGGCTTCTTCTTTAGCCCTTTGAGGCAGTTTCAACTTGTCATAGCCATGAATGAATGGCAGTACTAATGCTTAGTTGTAAGGATCTCTTACTGCTATGCCTTCTTGTGATTAGTGGTTCACCATTTGTAGACGTTTTTCTCGGTTTGTTGAGTGAAATTTATTTATCGTTTGATATAAAAAAAAAAAAAAAAATTAATAATACAACCATACAAAGGTAATTTTAATAATAACATAAAATTTGGTGTCTTACTAAAATTATAGATAATTCAAATCGAATCACTCATGTAAAGCCGGTGAAGAGGACAATTATGGCTAATTTCCAGCACATTTGTTACCATATTTGATATATTTAATATACATTCTTATGTTAGACAATCTAAGTAAATCTATCATACTATGTGAATAAAGATACATACTTATATTATCAATACTTATATTATCAAACTAGTACAAGTATTTGATAATAATAATAATAATAATAATAATAATAATTGTGCAACAATGAAAGAAAAAGAATAAAATTCTTATTGTGAAATAAAACTATCAATAACTAATAAGAAAATAAAAGAACTTGTAATATTATTTCAAATTCTGTAAAATATTTTGTATGACATATTATTATTTTATGTAAGATATATTCATTTTTTTTAAAATAAATAAAATAATTATGCAGTTAATATAACTACTGCGAACAACATGAATATTAAAATAATTTATTTATCAAAAGAAATAAGAAAAAAAAATTACATTCTTATAATAGAATTATAAAAAATATACAACTAGTAATAAAAAATAACAAAGTTAATTATTTAAAGTAATACTTGTATTTAAATTTGTTAAAATTAAAACAAATTAGTTATATTTTTTAAATATTTTAAACTTTATAATTTCTAATAATTTAAAACATAATTTGTATGGGTGTAATATTTTAAAACTTTATGAAATATAATAATTATTTATAATTATAATGCTCACTAATTTTTTTAACATTATTATAATGTTTAAGCTCTCTGTAGATCGACTTTATATAAGTTAAAACTAAAATTTAAAATATTTATTTTATATTTATTTTATGTTCATACTTAGTTTATATATTTTTTTAAATTAAAGTATCTATTTTATAGTATGTAAATATAAATAAATTTATCTTGTTTTATTAAATAATTTGTAGTTTTTTTTTATTTTTTTAATTTAATTTAATAAATAAATTTAAATTTTATTTATAAGAATATATATATCACTATGTTGTATTTTATATATGTAGTATGGATGTCAAGTCTAAGATCGTTAAAAGATAATTTAATATATTAGATATAGAGAATAAAATACAAATAAAAAATAATAAAATTTAAAAAATAATAAGAAGACACATTTATACTAACTAATGTATGAATTAAATAAGAAAATAAAATGTAATATATGGTAATGTGGGAAAATAACACATAAAATAGTTTACGATAATTGATTGTAGAACAAAAGAAGGAAAAGATCAATCACATATCTTATGTGAATAATATAAATATTTAATGCAATCTAACCCTT